CAGTTGTTATTCACCCTTTTGATGCCTGCTCCAAATTCCCGGCTCATTTTGTTCTTTGGTCTTCATCCTTTCCGTTTCCTGTCAGGATTTCAATCTAGCGCTTGCTTAGTGAGATGCAGTTCGATGATTTCCGTAATGTATGTCCTATCCATTTCCATCGTCTTTTCTTAATTTCCTCTTCATCTGGAAGCTGGTTTGTTTTCTCCCACAGTAGGCTGTTGATGATGATATCCGATCAATGGATGTTGAGTATCTTGCGTAGACAACCATTTATAAATAATTGTACTGTCTTGATGGTGGTTGTTGTAGTTCTTCAAGTTTCAGCTCAGTACAGTAGGACTGCTTTGACGTTCGTCTTGACGATTGTGACTCTGATATTGGTTGAAAGTTGTTTTGAGTTCCATATGTCCTTCATTTGTAGGACTGCAGTCCTTGCTTTGCTAATCCTTGCATTTACGTTTGCATCTGATCCTCCTTGTTCATCGATGATGCCGCCCAAGTATGTGAAGGATTCTACATCTTCCAGAGTTTCGCCATCAAGTGTGATTGGATTGCTTTTCCCCGTGCTATATTTGAGAACCTTGGTTTTCCCCTTGTGTATGTTGAGGCCTACAGATGCAGAGACTGCTGCTACACTAGCTGTCTTCGTCTGCATTTGTTCGTGCGTATGGGATAGGAGGGCCAGGTCATCTGCGAAGTCCAAATCGTCTAATTGTTTATGAGCTGTCCATTGTGTTCCGCGTTTTCCCTCAAATGTCGAGGTCTTCATAATCCAGTCGACCATCAGAAGAAAGAGGAAGTGAGAGGGTATACAGCCTTGTCTGACTCCGGCCCTTATTTGGAATGCATCTGTCAGCTGTCCTCCATGCACGACTTTGCACTGTAGTCCGTCGTATGAGTTCCGGATAATGTTGACAATCTTCTCAGGAACTCCGTGGTGTCGAAGAAGTTTCCATAACGTCCTCCTATCTATACTGTCAAATGCCTTTCAATAGTCAATGGAGTTGGTGCACAGTGACGAGTTCCACTCAACTGGTTGTTCGACGATGATCCACCGTGTCGCAATATGGTCTGTGCACGACCGATCCTTACGGAATCCAGCCTGTTGATCTCGAAGTTGGGCGTCTACTGCGTCTTTCACCTGGTTCAGCAACACTCTGTTTAAGACTTTCCCTGGTACTGACAGTAGTGTGATGCCTATGTAGTTTTCACACCTGCTCAGATCTCCTTGCTTTGGGATCTTGATGAGGTGTCTCTTTCCAGTCCATCCACACTTGTCCCTCCTCCCAAATCGTTTTGAATAGAAGGTAAAGCATGTTTGTAGTTATTTCGATGTCTGACTTCAGTGCTGCAGCTGGTATATGGTCGGATCCTACTGCTTTCCCGCTCTTGATTTGTCTGATGCTCATTCTGATTTCTTCCGTCGTTGCTGGATTAACATCCATAGGAAGATCTGTATGTGCTACTTCGACGTCCGATGGATACATTGGAGCCGGCCTATTTAAGAGTTCCTTCAAGTACTCTACCCATCTGTTCCGCTGTCTTTGAACTCCAGTGATTGATCTTCCTTCTTTGTCCTTGACCAGTCTCTCTAGTTTACTATATTTCCCTGCTAGTTTCTTCGTTGTATCGTAAAGCTGTTTCGTATTTCTTTCGGTTGCAGCTTTTTCCGCTGTCGTTGCTAGTTGTTCCACGTATTTCTGCTTGTCGGCTTTAATGCTCTTCTTCACTTCCTTGTTTGCTTCTGTGTACTCAGCTTGCGTTCGTCTGTTGTTAATTGCTGTCTTCTTGTTCATCCTTTCTTTGATCCTGCCCAGTGTTTCTATAGAGATCCATTCCTTATGATGATGTTTCTTTAGGCCCAGAACCTCTTGACACGTTGGAGTTAATGCTTCTTTGATACCTTTCAAATTTTCCTCCATAGTAGTTTCTTCTTCATTCAGTAGATCCTGTTAGGCTCGGAACCTGTTGTTGAGAGCTATCTTGAATTCGTTGATTTTGTTAGTATCTCGAAGGAAGGCTGTATTGAACCTTTGTAGCGCTGCTTGTCTAGTTGTCAAGTTTTTCTTTAGCTTCAGTTTTAAATTGGCTACAACTAGGTGGTGTTCTGAAGCTATGTCAGCTCCTCTCCTGGTTCTCACATCTTCCACTGTCCTTCGGAATTTTTTATTGATGCAAATATGATCTATCTGGTTCTCTGTGATGTGGTCCGGTGAGATCCATGTAGCTCTGTCTATACGTATGCCGCCTATGACCAATATGTTGAATGTACACAGATTTGCAAATCTTTCTCCATTTTCGTTTCTCTCACCCAGTCCATGTCGTTCCATGATATTGTAGTGACTTATTTTTATCAAGGGAACGCAATTGGTTTAATGACCTTGCACGAATTCGGTTACACTCATTAACTACAGTTTTACTCCTTTAGCACGATCATGGTATTCTTTCGATACCACGAGATCACCAACAAATACATCTCGACTACAGCCATCAACTGCTTTCTGATATCTGGCCTACAGGGGGTCTTATCGGTTAACTGGCACGTAGTCTTCCTGTAGTGGTGATTACAGTCAATCGCGAATCGACGCCACACTACAATATCTTCATATCCGGTGTTGTCTATCCCGACTTTGGCGTTTAGATCTCCCATGAGAATGGTGGCACTTACAAATATGTGGAAAAGCAACTAGAAAATATATACATGTTAAGCACAAAAAACCGTCCGGTAAAATAGTTGAACTCGCCTGGATTCTTTTTGAAAATTAGATTATTAAGTAGACAACATATATAACGCCTTTCGAGAGTAGTACTGATGTAAAAGCATCCAGAATAAAACATGCAGTATGGCAATTAATTTCACGGTGCTTGATGCTGTTGACGTTTTTGTCACTCGCTCGGATCAGAACAATTGAATGAATCCAGATCATTGAGTGGTTGCCATTGAACGAGCCATCTGAAGTGACATTATGATTGCAGAAAGCTTATAGCTGAAACTCACCGTATGTTTTTGTAGTGGTGTCATCCTTATTGTTTGTCAATGGAACTCGAAAATATGAAATTAAGCAGGCAGTAGTCGGAAGAAAGGATATTACAGGATAGTGCATAGTTTAAAACAGGATGAGGTGTTAAGTGAAGGAACACTAAGAATTAGATCCAGACAACTACTTAGTCCTTGAATGGATTGTTAGTCAATGTACATTTACGTTATTTACAGGTCATATTTGCTAGAGCTTGATGCTTAGACAAGTCTATGTCGCTGAAGCATGTAAATGTTATTAAAGCTTTTTAACGAACCATCATAGCTAATTAGTTAATATTGCTGACCACTTTTTATTATCGATTGAGCTAGTAAGTTATGAGAACTAGTCAATATAACATTACGATAATCCATCTGAGCATTAATCAGAGGAATATTAGAATAATGGGTTTACACAAATATAATCTATGAAAAAAGTTAGAGTGGAAATACGGATTAACAACAATAGGTTGTGTTTCTCTAGTCGGGCTTGCCAATGTAGAATCATGGTCTACTATGATATTAGTACTGCTCTAATAATAGACCTAATCCTAATATTGTAGATTTTTCATGATATAACTACCTAATCTAGGAGATCTTACGTGGAAGTAACATCATCGTCTACACCAACTCACTGTATCGTAACAACTACCAATACATGATGCGGAACAAGCTTAGGCTAGAGAAAGAACAATATATTTAATATGGATAAAAGATATGAGATAACATTCCGCAGGGACCACTCCTGCATGGTCAAGCCATAACATCAGATCAACTCCGATTAATTCAACTCATTGTTCACGACTTTTCGATCGTTAGTTTGTATTCGAATTGGGATTACCAATTGTAGCGTGGCGTCGAGTTGAGATTACCTATGAACACCGCTACCAAGCGAATCAGAAGGCGTAAGAAGCTCGTTCCAAATGACTCCATAAAATCCCCGAGAAGCCGAATACCAGAAGGCAATTAATGGACCAAGTCGAGGTTTATTAGCTGGCGATCTCGTGGCATCAAAAGGATACAGAGATCGAGCCAGGATACAACCTTGGTTACAGAAGGTAACCGAATTCGCGCGAAGTTACAATCAAAGTGTAAGTAATAAATGGAAGCACAAAATAGCTGTCATTAGCACAGTCAAACAAAAGCACGTTAAAACAAACACTGGTACAGTTGGTTATAATAATAATTGTTTTTATTAAACCAGTCGTGTTCTCGTGATAAACGTGAGTCACTACAAGTTATTTATCCGTGTTAAATATCGCATATCCATTTTAAGAGTAGTCTCGTGTTCAGCTCTGAGGATTTTGTGGTTATATCTTATGTTACTACAGAACTACTGTTTGGAAAAGCGGCTGTTCTTTGCTGGAACTCGCCGGACTTTTTCGATATCATATCCGTTTTGACTAAAACCTTGCTTCTGACTTGCGAACAACCTAATTTCGTCATGAGGAATTCACGTATGTAGTTATTGTACTTTATGGATTTTCTTGTCGATGAAAATACCATTCACTAACATATTCGACTGCATGATTATGTATTTTATCACACAAGGAATATTGGCCAATTTCGTGTTCTAAATGTTCGAACTGAAACGACTAACGTTCTAAAACTCTAGACAGGACTGTTGAAGTTACTGTGGCTCCTAAATGTAACAGTCGGCTCGTCGAGTCTTCTGTGATATAAGCTGACCAGTTGTTGTAAAAGGCGACCAGCGCCAAGAACATTAAAATGATCTGGTGTGGACGAATGATCAATAAAATAATTTAAACACTATGAATTTGGTATAAGTGAGCAAATATAGGTCAATTATAACAAAAAACTCAATAAAACCTATAAATTAAACGCAACGGGAAGCCTAATGAAAAGCTATTCAACAAAGATCTCAGAAATAAGGAAAACCGAACATATTTACTAATTAATCCTTAATCTTTAACAAAAGACTGGCTAACATCAACTGGTTTCATCACTGATATATTGGATATTGGAACGAGGGCGGTATACTGAATGTAACGTCACTCTTCACACAAACCTTTTATTACTTTGCTGAGGTTGCCAGTTTGTTTGTTACCTGGATAAAATAACATTTCCCCAGCATTTTTCATCATGGTGTGTTAGTTCTACTTCCTCGTAGAATGGGCACTCATTCACTCTATCACTTAGTAATATTATTTGAGGAAACTAAGAAGAAATTATCAAAATCTCTTTCATACAGTTGTAAGTTATCATATGTTTCACCTTTATCTGTATAGCTCCATCTTTACCGTATCCATTTATTATTCGGAAGTCGCTAAAAAAGGCTAGGCACTCCGAATTAAATACTTCAGATATTCAAGGTAGCAGGCAATTTAATCAAATTACTGTGGAGACGTATACAATGGGTAGGGGACCTGTATGTGTGTCAATATCATTTTCTTACAGATACCTCAGAGTCGTGGGATCTAGACAATTGTGAAGAGATAAGTTTTCTGTCGGGTAATCCAACTGTCGAAACCACTGAAGGTATCATACATATATACAAAAATCAGTACGTAGTTTCAAAACATCCTAATGCTTCTTAGGAGAGAAGTTCCACGATGTAATGACATGGTTACGAGCACTGTGCTATGTTTCTTTTCTGTACCATCTCATATAACAGTGAAAGACTTACTGAGGTTTATTTCACCTATGCGGTTTGTTTGTAAATTATAGGTAAACTTTTCAGTAATGTGATTGTAGAGCTGAAAATCGTAAAGGATAGTACTCCAAATCAGTATATGGCATTGATAAAGTTTCGTACACCTGTACGTATATGTTATTTCCGTTTTACAGCTGTAGGAAGACACAGGCCATTTTTATGATACTTACAATGGCACTTCTTACAATACTTTGGAACAAGAAGCGTGCCAACTAATGTATGTCTCACATGTAGAGATCACGCACCCTTCTACAGTATGATTACATTAACCATAACTCGTTCACACTTTCAGGGCGTTGCATTTCCCACCAAAGATTTAAGGGAGTTGCCTTCTTGTCCGGTGTGTTTGGAGCGTCTGGTTAGTTTCTGTATTTATGATCTTTTTCACTACCTTCATTCTTAAACACAGGATGAACCCGTGCAAGGGATACTGACTACGATTTTATGTAACCACACATTCCATGATGGGTGTATTTCACAGGTAGAAGATACCATGTAAGACAAATAATTTCCCGCCTTATTTTCTAATATAGTTGCCCAGTTTGCCGTTATGTCCAGTCACCTGAAATGCTCTCTGACAGTCAGTGTGCAGACTGTGATATAAGAGAAAACTTATGGATTTGTCTCATATGTGGTCATGTTGGTTGTGGTCGTTATGGTCAAAAACATGCACAGGTGCATTTTGAGGAAACAGGACATACATTCGCCTTAGAGCTCGGCAAAACTTTGGTCTGGGATTACGCCGATGATGCATATGTTCATCGGCTGGCTGTTAATCATGAGGATGGCAAATTAGTTCAGGTCAGTAAATTTACGGTTTTTGTTTTCTTGCTATTAGTGTATTCCTTTGTGTAGCGCGAAATGTTAGGTTACTAAGATATGCGTTTGTATAAAAGTTTATTTAGTGGGTTGTATAAAAACATACGAAGTCAATGTATTTTTACCATATTCTTCTCATCTTGGAATTCTAACTTATTTGACTAGGTTATGACATTGAATTATTTACTAAAATGCTTTCTGAGCAGTTTCTGTATTTGACCCAAACGTTGATACTAATTTACACTCCCCAGATGTCCTGGTACGTCCGAGAGTGGGGAGAGTCAGCTCACCCTCTCGAAATGCTTTCATATGTCCACGCGTGTATAGCCTCTGCCAGGGAAGTCCTACTCACTGCCTCCTCGTGGCATTACTGTTGTGTACGAAAGTGAGAGAACGAAAAGCGAAACTCCGACTCTCTAACCGGGTTGGTGGACACGGAGAGTCCACGTAGGGGGGGTTGGAAAACTCAGACTCCAAACCAATGGTGCACATGGGCTCCAGTTTCCTGAAGGAACAAATGGCGTGTGAACCAATCGTTGGTCACCGGCTACCATAAGACTGCATCTCCTTACGGTGCTCCACTGCCTTGTGGATCAGACATTCAGGTCGAAGACTCCGGGTGTGGGTCCATAAGAAAACCACTTGCTTCGGTTTGGGCACCCGAGCGGTGTCGCAGCCCTCGCTTAAATCAAGTGAGATTTGGGTGGCGCATATGTATCTGGTGCTTTCTTGTACCAATATTTGTGTTCAAATAAGTAATAAATAAATAAACATACCAATCATATAAATAAGACAGGTTTTTTTCTTTAGCCTTGAATACTTTTGCCAAACCTTTTGGATATTAGTGATGATATCTGTCCTTTGCTCGTAAGGATGAAATGATATAAGACCTTTTACTATCTAATTTGTTAAATTCAGTATACAGCTAAATTCCCGAGCGTTGCTATTACCTTGACGTGGTGGTCGGGCTTGCCTATCGTGATGAACCAATCGAGTTATACTGGCTAGAACAATCGTTCCTCAAGGTCCAACCATGCCAGACAGGTCGGTTGACAAGCGGTAAGACTAAAAGCAGCAAATCCAAGGTCCGAAGGCGAAGTCATACTGCTGACTGTACAGAGGTGTGACAGCAGTAAGATGTTTCCTTCAGACAACTAGCATGACAGCGATGCTGCCTTCCCACTAGGAAGAGTGTGGTTAGAGAAGGTCGACCCCAAACGTGCATATCTCGCCTTATCCCACGGATATCCGTCTCCAGCGATAAGGTCCCAACAAGTACGTGTGTGACTGACTTCAAGCGGTTGTCTCTAAATTCCCGACCATAGCAGATACCTTGACGCGGTGGTCGGGCTTGCCTATCGTGACGACCCAACCGAGCTATATTGGCTGGAACATATGTTCCTGTAGGTTCTACCATGCTAGGCAGGTCGATTGGAGAACGGTAAGACTAAAAGCAGTAACTCAAGGTCCGAGGGCGAAGTCGTACTGCTGACTGTAGAGGGGTGTGGCAACATTAAGGTGTTTCCCTCGGACAACCAGCATCTGCAGCGATTCTGCCTTCTCACAAGTGGGGGTGGGGTTAGAAAAGGTTGACCCTAAAAATGTCACACCTCACCTTACCTCACGGATTACCGTCTCCGGTGGTAAGGGCCTTTGAAGAACGGAGCTAACCCGTCAAAAACCTCCCACAAAAAGGCCGTGTGCGACCAGCCTCAAGCAGTTGTCCCCTGGGCTCTGCGGTCACGCTCCCAGGCCGTTAAGGCCGACATTAATCCGAATTCCTTTTCAGGTTCCTTAAGAAATATCCTTCCACGGTGTGGGCAGCCGGAAAGTAACATCAGCCCACACACCCGTAACAGTACACGAGACCAAGTTGGTCACATTAAAATCCTTCCTACACCTCCTAATACCTCTCTTATCTCCATGACTAAACCTCCCCACGTCTCTTTATCATCTCGCCCCGCAAGGGCAAACTATTCGAGTACGCGGAACGCTATTCCTGGTCTCCTGAAACCACGCTCTAAACTCCATGTTAGAGCTTATAACGTCCGAATACTGTGCCCAATAGGACTGCAGGCTTCCTTAGCTAGGACTTTAGAATCTCTCACCATCGATGTGTGCTGCGTCTCCAAAACGCGCATACAGGATCTGAGTAGCGTCATTCATCTGACCTCACTATGCCAAAATAAAGAACCAACTCAATTCACACTTCGTGTATCTGGAAGCCCTGATGTTGCTTCCCGTGGCCTGGCCGGCGTAGGCGTAGCATTGAGTCCTAGGGCAGAAATAACTCTCTTAGACTGGATCCCAGTAGACAGTCGTTTGTGCGCTGTACGACTAGACGGAACAGTAAGGACTCGGAAAGATAGGGACACTCGTCATTGCCTCTTTGTCGTCTCTGCCTATTCTCCCACTGACTGCAACTCAGATGATGTAAAAGATGAGTTTTACAGAAAGCTTTACGACCTCCTAAAAGCTAGGCGCTCTGATGTAGTAATAGTGGCCGGTGACTTTAATGCTCAAGTAGGTAAACTAAGCGAAAGGGAAAGACACGTGAGTGGATCTTATTGTGTCTAGGCTCAAAGAACAAATAATGGTGACCGTCTGTTGCAGCTATGCTCAAATAACCGCCTCTTTCTTGCAAATACTAACTTTAAGCATAAGGAAAAACATCTTTTAACATGGCGACCCCCTAATTCGTCCCAACGTTTGGACCCAAATAGATCACATCGCTATCAGCCACCGATGGAGAGGCTCGATAGAAGACTGTCGTTCATTCTGGAGCACATGCTTAGATTCAGATCATGCTCTAGTACGAGCGCGTATCTGTCTGCGTCTTACTGGACATAGGAAAGACGCTGCAAGGAAACCTCTTAGGGGCCTACTTAATGATAGTCAAGTTAAGAGTATATTTCAGGAACAACTAGGAAAACAGTGAGGCAGCCATGTGTGTGATGCCCACCTCGAGGCAGTATGGAATGATATCCGAAGAGCTGGGGAAACCGCAATGATATCTGCTAGTACGGTAAACCCTAAGGTTAGGGAGCAACACTGGATCTCAGCAGCATCTATCGCACTGATAGATGTTCAAAAACTCATTCTATCCGGATCTGATCATAACGAAGGGCAGAGTTAGCTTAAGCGCAAGCTGACAAGAAGCCTACGCAATGATCGCGAACAGTGGTGGATAGCGAAAGCAAGAGAGATGGAAAAGGCAGCGGCAATAGGTAATAGCAGACAACTGTTCAGACTTGTTAAGGGAATCGGTATTAAAAACCTGACTGTTATCGAAACTATCTCAGAAAAAGATGGACATATTATACATTCTCAATCCAGGAAATTGGATCGATGGGCAGAACACTTTAGGGATCAGTTCAACTGGCCTTTAGCCTTACTTCGGTTTCCCACGATCTTCAGTTGACCTGGATGGAAAGTTAATATAAGTCCTCCGACTCTTTACGAAGTTGAGAAAGCTACAGGAAATCTGAAGCGAGGGAAAGCAGCAGGCCCTGACAGGTTTACTCCTGAGATTTTTAAGGATGGTGGTCCAGTATTAGCAGTGAGATCAACTGAGGTCTTAGGTAGAATTTTGGAACTGGACGCAATCCCATCTGACTGGTCTCAATCACTGATTGTGCCAGTCTATAAGAAAGGACAAAAGTCTTCTTGTGACAATCACACAGGAATCAGTTTGACTAATATAGTGTCTAAAATATTAGCTTCAATAATACTTCGACGCCTAACTAAAGCTCGTGAAGAGCAGACTAGAGAAAATCAGGCTGGTTTTCGACCTGGACGTGGTTGTATAGACCACATATTCACACTACGTCAGGTTCTAGAACACAGACACGTTCAGATGCCCCACAATGGTAGTATTTCTCGACCTTAAGGAGGCATTCGACTCTGTTGACCGTGAGGTTCTATGGCAGTGTTTGTCATTGAAAGGAGTACCAAAGAAGCACATTAATCTTGTAAAGGCTCTCTACTCGAAAACAACTGATCGAGTGAGAGCTTATGGCGAACTGTCATCAGAATTGATTACTTCAAGTGGTGTTCGTCAGGGCTGTTCACTCTCTCCATTCTTGTTTAACTTTTTCATTGACGTACTTTTAGAGACAACACTTTCCTCATCTAAATTTCCAGGGGTTGAACTTCTACCGGGAGATTCACTTGTTGACTTGGAATATGCCGATAACTTCGTTCTATTTGGTGAAAACGCTGACAAAATGCAGTCTTCTGACCACTCTAAGCAACAATGCAAGCATGTTCGGGATGCGATTCTCCCCTCGAAATGCAAAATGTTGCTTCAGGATTGGGTTGCATCGACACTCGAACTAGTGATAGGGAGTGAAGTAGTTGAGCGTGTCGACCGCTTCACTTATTTTGGGAGCCTCATCAGCCCTTGTGGTCTGGTATGTGACGAAATCTCAGCACGGATACAGAAAGCTCGACTAGCTTTTCGCAACTTGCGTCATTTATGGCGTAGGAGAGATATCCGTCTATCAACCGAAGGACGTGTTTACTGTGCAGCAGTTCGTTCCTTCCTACTTTATGTCAGTGAAACATGGCCGATAAGAGCAGAGGATATTCGTAGGTTACTGGTATCATAGATGTCTTCGAAACATTGCTTGTATATCCTGGGACCATCGAGTAAGTAATGCAGCTGTTAGGAAACGGGTACTAGGTAAGGATGGCAAATCGATTGATGAAGTGGTGAAACTTCATCAGTTGAGATGGCTGGGACATGTGTTACGTATGCCCAACGACCGACTGCCTCGACGTGCGATGTTCAGTGGTATAGGAGTAGGTTGGAACAAAGCTAGGGGCCGCCAGACCAAAACATGGCACAAATCCATGAAGTCAGACAAATGGACTGAGTCATGTTGGTAGGTGTAGACTAGCTAGTTGGGGACCGCGATATGATAGCAACCGATGGTTAGAGACCCTGAATGACATGGCTCAAAATCGTTTGCAATGGCGCAGGTGCATACACTCTTTGTGTTCTCCCAAATTTTGATCTCATTCCTCCTTGTCTCTTTTTTTCTCTTCCCAAATTTATTTCACTGTATTATACTCTTTAAATAGCATCTCCAAACCCTAATCTTCCCGATTACTGCTTATACTCTTACTACCTCTACCACTACGGGATTTGAATCGACCACTGCATCTCTGTGCTAATGTGGTGTGGCAGTTCGAACTGATGTACGTACGTACGAAGTTCTACGTTGTTACTGACTGACTGACTGACTGTCTCTTAGGCACTAATGAGACTCTCAGGTCACTAAGACCACCTCTAACCCAATTTCCTTTTCAGGTACCTCCAGGAGAACCCTTCCACGGTATGGGCAATCGGGAAGCGATAACTGCCCTCATACCTCTAACAGCACTTAAGATCACTGTATCCATAATCAATCTCCCTCTTCAATTCCTATTATTACTCCTATTTCAACTTTCAACTCTTCTAGGTGGTGCACTTATCTACCTAAAATACACAAATGATATAGTCCTGTTTGGTGATGACGCTGATAAATGCAGTCTTTTGATAGCACTGAGCAACAATGCCAGGATGTTCGGGATGCGTTTCTCCCCCTCTAAATGCAAGTTGTTGCTCCAGGACTGACCTGCGTCAACACCTGGACTACTGATTGGGAGTGAAGTAGTTGAACGCGTCGACAACTTCACTTATCTTGGAAGTCTCGTCACCTTGATGGGTTGGTGTCTGACGAAATCTCAGCACGGATTCAGAAAGCTCGTTTGAATTTTGCCAACCTACTTGACCTATGGCGATGGTGAGATATTTGTCTATCAATAAAAGGACGAGTATACTGTATGGAAGTTTGTTCTGTTCTACTTTACGACTGCGAAACGTGGCTATTAAGAGTAGAAGATACTCTTAAGCTATTAGTATTTGACCGCAGATGCCTCAGAAATATTGCTGGCGTCTGCTGGGATCACCTGGTAAGTAATAGTGAGGTTAAACATAGGGTATTAGGGAATGATGGTAAATCAGTCGATGAGGTTGTGAATATTCATCAACTGAGATGGTTGGGTCACGTGTTACGTATGACTGAACACCGATTACCACGGCGCGTAATGCTAACTAGTGTTGGGGATGGTTGGAAAAAAGTTAGGGGTGGCCAAACCAAAACGTGACATCAGTACTTGAAGTCACTAACTTCTAGTCTTAGCCATATTGGTAGATGCAGACTACTTGGTTGGGGTCCGCGTGACTTCCGTAACCAATGGCTGGAGACTCTTGGTGACATGGCTCAGAATCGATCACAATGGCGTAGGTGTATACACTCCCTGTCTTCCCTTAAACTAAGAGATTAAAATCACTTCACATCTTTCCTTCTACTAACTAATTCTTTCTTCCTATACTATATCCTTACATGCAATCTTTCTCCTATATATTACCACCTTTGACCTAACCACTCCTATGAATCCGGTGTTCATCTTGCTGTGTTAATGAGGTATGGCAACTTGGACCGATGCACATATGTGCCTGGTCCTACGTTGTAACTGACTGACTAACAGCTAAATTATTTAACTAACCTTATCTTAATAGTATTTCTATGCTTGCAAGAATGGTTTACATGAATGTTAGAAAAAGTTTGTCTCTTATTTTCTGTTCACTAATTTCGCTATGAAACACCGGAAGCTTCATAATGACACTACTAAGTCTAGGTTTCGCTTGGTGATTCTAACTAACAAGAGAGTGGACGGGTTATTCCCAAACTTTTCTACTTCGATTATAGTCAGAGAAACAATTGATCTTAAGTAATTTTTTTGTTTTAGTCTCACCATACTTCATCGTTCAGAATAATACAACCGTGTATAACCTGGTTTATAGGCTAATATATAATCCTTCATATAGCTGTTTTTTATTTGTTTCAGCTTGGACCCAATAATGAAACTGGTAACAAAAAGCTAGATATAATTAGCATGGAATTCAGTGCCATCTTAACAAGTCAACTGGAATCACAACGTGCATACTTCGAGTCCCAACTGGATTTAATAACTACTCAGTCAAATGTTCGTCTCGAAGAAATGGAATCCCGTGTCGAATCTGCCTTATCTGCTGCGCAAACAGCCGAAAAGAAACTCTCTGAAGTCATAAAAGAGAACTTAGTCATCAGTCGTAAATTGCAACAAGTACGTCACACAAAAATTTAACATTTCATTTTTATACAAAAACATTTAGTAGACTATTGTTTCATTCTGCCTGTTTCACTAAATATCACTTTTTGTAAATAAGTTTCGGCTCCGTACAGTAGAACTATCCTGACGTTCGTATTGATGATTGTGACTCTGATATTGGTTGACAGTTGTTTTGAGTTCCATATGTTCTTCAACTGTATGAATGCTGCCCTTGCTCTCCCTACCCGTACCTTCACATCTGCATTAGATCTCACTTGTTTATTGCTGATACTGTCCAGATACTGCTGCTACTACTCTAGCTTTCTTCACCTGCATTTTTTGATGTGTGTGAGACTGAAGGGCTAGGTCAACTACGAAATCGAAATCGTCTAGTTGCATGCAAGCTGTCCACTATGCCCCGTGCTTCCCCTGAGATGTGGTTTATTTATTATTATTATTTGAACACATAAATATTGTCAGAATGAGTTTTGTGGAGATTTTAGTAAATTTCACAGGTTGAAATCATGAGTCAGTTGAAGCTAGACCACCATTGAAAACCAGGTTTTCAATGGTGGTCTAGCTTCAACTGACTCATGATTTCAACCTGTGAAATTTACATAAATATTGGTACAAGATTGCGCCAAATATATATGCGCCACACAAAACAATGAGAATTTAAAGAGAAGGAAAAAGAAAAGGTAAGGAGCGTAAAAAAAGAGAGAGAACAGTAACGAAGAGATTGGTGTAAGGTAGTGCAATAATAATAATGATAATAATGGGGGAAACGGAAAGGTACAATCAGAATAAGTCTTTCAGTTAAGGAAGATACAACCACTTTTTTACGAAGAAAGTAAAAGAGGGTTACAACAGGATCGCCACTGGCTTCTATTCTGAGCCATATCTGATAACGTCTCTAGTCACTGTGTTGCACCATTTCTCGGACTCCAGCTAGGGAGTCGTGAAGGACCAACACAAGCCAGCCCTTTGCAGCTTTCTTTCATGCCACGACACCATGTCATATACTGACCATCTCTCCGCTTTTTCCAGCCAGTCCCAGAGTCGGCAAACAATGCACGACGTGGAATTCCCAGGGACGACATTCGTAGAACATGTCCAAGCCACCGAAGTCGATGTTTCAAGATGGTGACACCAATTGAGTTATCATCTCTGTGCCCGAACTCATGATGCCGAACCTCTGCATTACTAACATGGTGTCATCACTGGATGTCAGCAATCCTTCGGAGACAGCAATGATCGAACACAGAGAGTCGTCTAACGTCCTCAACTCTGAGAGGCCAGGTTTCACGAGCATAGAGCAAAACTGCTCTCACCGACGTGTTGTAGATCCGACCTTTATCATGAATTGATCTCGTCCCTCATGCAACAATCAGCACTTATGCAGCTACCCAGATACACGAACTTCTCGACTACTTCTATCTGCTCACCATCCAGAGTGAGTACAGGATTAGAATCCTGCCAGTCTTGTAGAAGTACTTTGCACTTCGAAGGTGCAAAGTACATACCATACCTACGAACAAAGATTGCCAAATGATTAAGTGCGGATTTCATGGCTTGGGCATTATCGCACAGTAAGACAATATCGTCCGCATACTCAAGGTCGAGAAGTCTTTCTCCAGCCATAAGATCCACACCACCATTACTTACATCCATCAGAGCTGTTTCCAGAATGTCGTCGATGGCAAAGTTGAAGAGGAATGGTGAGATTGGGCAACCCTGCCTAACCCAACTGCTCGAATGGAACAATGGAGAGAGGTGGTTGTATGCCCTCACTCTACCTGAGGTGTTTGTATATAGGGCTTTTAGGATGTTAATAAACTTCTCAGGCACACCCTTCTTCAATAGACAATCGCAGAGAACAGTCCCGTCCAACGAATCGAAGGCAGCCCTGATGTCAAGAAACACTACGATTGTTGGCCTTTGATAAGTTTGACGGTGTTCTAACATTTGGCGGAGGGTGAAGATATGATCAATACATCCTCGACCAGAACGAAACCCAGCCTGCTTCTCGCGAGTCAATCTTTCTCGGGTTTTGAACAACCTACGAAGAATGACGGAAGCCAATAGCTTGGACGCAATCGGAAGTAGACTTATCCCTCGATAGTTGTTACAGGAACGACGTGAACCCTTTTTAAAGATAGGGACAACTATCGACTCATTCCATGACGTTGGTACACTCTAGTTCCCAGACTTTTGTAAACAACGTCGTCAATTCCTTAGTCAAAAAGTCACCACCATCTTTAAAAAGAGCCGGAGGTAAGTCATCTGGGCCAGGTGATTTGTAGCGCATCAAGGGTTGGAGTTCCTTGCGGACTTCCTCCTCATTTGGTGGATCAGTCGTCACCGGCCATGGAGGGCAGGACAGTCTGACCGATGTTGCCGGAGCAGCAGGCCAGTTGAACTGCCCTTCGAAAAATTCTGCCCATCGTCCAAGACGTCGATGGATGTTAGTGATTGGCATCCCATCATCCTCGCAGATTGTTTCACTCACACCAGACTTCTTGCTGCCAGTGGCTCGGATGAGCTGGAAGAGCTTCCGGTAGTTACCAGATGCAGCTGCTGCTTCCAGCTCATTAGCACGCATCGACCACCAGGCTTCTCGGTCCTTACGCAAGCTTTGCCCAATTTACTTACGTAACATCCTTCGTTTATGGTCAAACTCACGGTCACCCGGAGTAGACCGACGGGCTTCAATGAGTTGTAAGGAACCAGAAGAAACCCAGTGCTTGAAAGCGGGACGTTTCGCAAACCCACAACTGATTGTTCCCGCCATTTTCATGGCGTCATGCAATTGCAACCAATGCTCATCTATACTTTTCGGTGGAGTGGTAGCTAGCCTAGAGGCTAGCTCGGTTCGATACTTACTTGCACCAGAAGTTGCAACCAGCTTGCTAACATCAATCCGTTGATGGCGTTCACTTCGTTGTCCACTGAAAAGTAAGGCAAGATTGGCGCAGACCAAGGCATGGTCAGAGTCCAGATAGGTACTCCAAAAGGAGCGGCAGTCTTGTACACAACCACGCCAGCGGTAGCTGATCGCGATGTGATCAATCTGAGTCCAGGCTTGAGATGCAGAGGGAGGACGCCAGGTGGCACATCGGCGATGACTGTGCCGAAAGTTAGTGCTAGCCAGAAACAGGTTGTGGTCTGTGCAAAGTTGCAGTAGACGGTCCCCGTTATCTGACCTGCGACCAACGAGTCCCCATCGGCCACCTAAACGACTCTCTTCTGTGCCTAGCAACTGAGCTGCAGGACTGAGATAACCACTTTGACCGACCACAGATTAGCGTAAACAAAGTGCACTTGTTGTTGAGTCAATTAGAATGCTGGCCATATTGACACATGATTGATATAATTGAATCAGCACCAAAGATTGGATAAAAGTGACACCAGTTACCACTTAGTAATCAATCAGAACAAGGCCTAGACACAAACATGCCATGTGTGAAAAATCAATTTTATTGGAAAGACTATAAGTCACTACTCATAGTTAGCATCCGGAATTCATAGGACGGAGTACACTGCAAAGTCGTGCATAGAGGACAGCTGACAGATGCATTCCAAGTGAGGATTGGAGTAATATAAAGATGTTTACACTCTCCCTCTATTTTCTAGTGTTTCAACTGGACATGTAAGAGGAAAATGGGATACTGTAGTGAAGAAGAACACGGGTGAGGACAGCCAAATTGTATTTAGGACAAATTACAGAATTACTTGGTAAAATAGAAAAGCCATATAGTAAATCGTTAATTTGCAAAATATCATTCTATCATATCAAACCGGGCTGTTGCTGTTGCAAACATCAATCCATTGTCTCGCATTTCATTGCTCATGCAGTTTCTAACAAATTCCATTGTTTTCTCGCTCTTCTTTTCTTGATCTTCTCCGTCTTCTGCTGCCAGACATTACGTTCTTTTGACTCACGTTATATACTACTTATATCAATATAAGTAGCACGCACCACACTCGTCCCCCCTTTTAACAAGTTGCTGTCGTAGTCTTTCTGATCTCCGTACCGCTGTGTTCTTTGGTGCTTTTCGTGATTCACACACATGATGATCTTGAAACCATCTCTGTAGTTGACTAGCATTTACGCGCTTCTGCTTGTCTTCTCTCCGGATCGTGTAGACCGAGCCGCGTCTCTCCGTGATAACATACGGTCCTTCCCATTTTGGGGCCAGCTTCCCCGACCCTTCTCCCCCTGCTATGTTACTTTTTCGTTCTCTACATTTTACTAGGTCCCTCACTGCAAAGGGTTTCCACGTTCTCCTCTGTTGTTCTGCCTTCTTTGTGTCTGATATTTGTTTCTTTTCCACGTTCCTTATTGCCTCTCTCCTCTCTTTTCTTAACCTTGTTGTCGTCCACTTCTGTTGTTGTGGCCAGGTCTTATTATGCATTGGAAGTCGTGGTTGTCTGCCATACATGAGCAAGAAAGGTGACTTCTTGGTTGTTCCTTGTGTGGAGGAACGATGTGCCAGCAAAATCAATGGTAACTCCCAATTCCCTCCTTTTGATGCTAACCATTCCTTTAACGTCCGATTGTTTCTCTCTGTAAGCCCGTTTGTCTGAGGATGATACGGTGTAGTTCGTATTCTCTTGATGCCAAACTGCTTTAAACGGGCTTTAAACTCGTCACTTTCAAAACAGGGACCCTGGTCAGTTAATATCATCTTCGGTATTCCGTGACACGCTACAATATGCCGGATTACCACCTCGGTCACTGTCCTTGCCCGCTGGTCTGCAATGGGTACGGCATCTACCCAACGTGTAGCATGTTCCGTCATCACTAACAGGTACTGGTTACCGCTCGCCGTCTGTGGAAACGGTCCCATCACATCCATCGACCATAGATCACCGACTGTGGTTACTGGGATTGACTGTAATGGCGGTTGTGTGTATCGATCGCTTTTCATTAGCTGACACTGCTGGCAGGTTAACACGTATTCAGCCACATCTTCTCTCATGCTCGGCCAGTATGCACTTTGTCGTAGTAAGTC